ACGGAAACGCATTGGGTGGGGGGGGATTTATTAAAACTGGAGCAGACAAAATCTCTGACCCATTTTCAAATCTTACCTGAGCAAACTGAAGAGAGAAGCTGATTAGTTGCCATGGGCAACTGCTTCAGTTACTGTTCGGTTTGGTTCGGTGTGCTCCAGTTTTGATAAATTCCCCCCAGTATGTTTCATGATTCCCCTCACTTCTTGTCCCCTTGTCATTGGGGGGTACACTTTCATTACAGTGGGGAAGCAAAACATTTTTAGATGCAGTTCAAGTTTAATCTTTAACACACCTCTGCTACTTAAAGTAGGCAAAACTTTTTTTTTTAAGCTTTTGGATAGAGTAAGGGAGGGTTATAACTAGGGATGGGCCGAGTGTTCGATTCGAACATGAGTTCGAATCGAACATCGGCAGTTCGAGCGCTTGTCGAACGCCGAACTTTATGGGATGTTCGCGGTTTGTTCGACCGCGGACATTCCATAATACAAAATGCCCACTGAAGCTCTGATTTGTTAAAGTCTTTTTAAAGTAGGCAAAACTTTTTTTTTTAAGCTTTTGGATAGAGTAAGGGAGGGTTATAACTAGGGATGGGCCGAGTGTTCGATTCGAACATGAGTTCGAATCGAACATCGGCAGTTCGAGCGCTTGTCGAACGCCGAACTTTATGGGATGTTCGCGGTTTGTTCGACCGCGGACATTCCATAATACAAAATGCCCACTGAAGCTCTGATTTGTTAAAGTCTTGCACCTGACCATAGGTCAGGTGCAAGACTTTGCCCAATTAGAGCTCAGCGGAGGAGGGGCCTGAAGGAGAAAGTTATCTACCAGGTCCCCCCATGCTGATTGACAGCAGGCAGGTGCAATAGCCAACTTGCTATTGGCCAATAGCAGGCTGGGTATGGCTCAAAGCCTGCAGATGAAGAGGGGGCGGGGCAGAGGAGAAGCGGCCGGACTGGGGGGGCAGAGGAGAAGCGGCCGGACCGTGGGAGCGGAGGAGCTGACGGACCGGAGGAAGAGGAGGCGGCGTACCGGAGGAAGAGGAGCGGGCGAACCGGGAGAAGAGGAGCGTACGGACCCAGGAAGAGGAGTCGGCAGAAAAGGAGGTGCAGACGGACCGGAAGAAAATGGGGTGCCGCGGCCGGACGGGGGACAGAAAAGCCGCCGGACAAGTGGAAGACAGCAGCAGAGGTACAGGGGCAGCGGGGCAGCAGGGGCCGCTGCAGCCACATGTACCGGCAGCTGTATGGGGGTCGACCCCTATACACTTGCATTGAGTTCGAGTTCGTACGCGAACATTTCGGCGGTTCGAATACGAACCGAACACTGGGGTGCTTGGCTCATCCCTCCTCCACTGCCGCTGCTGGCTCTCACTGACTCAGCAGTGGCTGTGGAGAGGAACTCGCCGCTGCATAGATCACAGCCAGTGATCTGAACAGCGGTGCGTTCCTCTTCACAGCCGCCAGTGGCAGCCAGCAGCATGAGATGCCATAGCAACCCAGGCGGCCCGCATGGCATCAGGGATCTGGGTATAACTTCTCTCACCCTTTTAGATTGTAAGCCATCAGGGGCAGGGCCCTCCTTACCATCTTGTCTTAAATTGTATTTTGATTGTAATGTCTTCCCTATATTGTAAAGCACTGCACAAACTGTTGGCACTGTATAAATCCTGTGTAATAATAATAATCCAAGTGTGTGCACCTGCACCTGCACATATGTTCAAGTTCGGGTCGTTGCGTAGCCACATGCAGCCGGGTCCTGTCATAAGGATGTGCGCGCAATTACAGGCAACACCTGTCCCTCCGGAGAGCAGGTCTTTGCATGGGTATGCACGCAGTATGGATATGCATGCCCATGTGAATAAGGCCCTAAGAAGTGGAGCGGGTAAGCTAGATGGATAGAAGCTGGTTTTGAAGTATCAGCTGATATATATCAAAGTTTATTAAGGTGTTTTAATAATGTGCATGTGTGTCTATTTAATGGTTTTAGGTTATCAAAGGTAATTTAACATTTAGTAAAATTAAGATAGTATAGTGAAAGCAGAAAAGATTTTTCCTAACATAACAGTTAATCTATATTCCAGTATAGGAATGTTACATACTGTACATGGATACACACATTAATAGTATCATAGAGTGGGATGTTGTTTGATTTTATTTCTTAGGTTCCTCTGAAACCCAGTCATGTACCTCTAAAGTAATTTTCTCGGCTTCTTCTTTCCTTCCGTTAAACATGCCCACTCTCTTCATCTGACTGACTGCCTTGGCAGGTTTGCCAGAGAGGACGAGCCAGCGGGCAGATTCAGGGAACCACCTGTGAGGAGAGCAGAAGAGGTTTGTTTCTGTGTAAAACAGTATATAATTATAGGAATGTAGTTTTATACAGCTTCCAGTGTCTGGGACCCTGACATGAACATGCAGTGGCATAGCAATAGCCACAGCAATGGGCCTAGGATAGAAGGGTGCCCTAAAAGGCCACGGCGCATTTCTCCTCATAGCCGCTGCGAAGCTGTGTCAGTGACAGCCAAATGAGGCTGCGGCAGATGAGGGCGGTGTACGGAATGGAGGAGGTGGCGCCCGCATCCTCTTACATCACTGGCCAGCGACCTAAGAGCAGGTGGGGCCATTGATGTAAGAGAAGGCCGGGTCCGTCGATAGCAGAGGAGGCGGGGCCCGGGAACGGAACAGGAGTCGGGGCCCGGGGACGGAACAGGAGGTGGGGCCCGGCTACCACAGAGGCGCTGACAGGTAAGAGATCTCAGACCCTGCAGAGCCCACTATAGAGAGTCTATGGTGGGCTCTGCAGGGTCACTCTCCGCTGGGGCTCTGCAAGTGGCATAACTAGCAATCACGGGGCCCCATACAAAATTTTGCTATGGGGCCCTGTGATTTCTAGTTACGCCCCTGAGTGCTACTATAACTTTTACCCACAGCATTGCTCCCTAGTAGTGTACTGACTATGCTGATAGCTCTCCTGTTGCCTGTCCTTGATAAATACTTCATGTTTGGATCACTCCCAGCCACTACAATTACCTGGGGGACCCCATGATTTGTAGTTACACTCCTGTGAGCATGCCAAATCAATGTGGGCTGGTATTAGCCCCTTTCAGTCTCCAAACTGAAAATTGTAAAAGTTTCCAGGGGCTTCAATACTTCCCCATGACCTGGGGAAAAGTATTCAGATTAGGGATTCTAATTTCAAGCTGACTTAATTTTCTGCATGCTTGTTCCAGGTCAATAAAGCCAGAGACTGATCGTCAACTAGTACTCTAAAGCTCGCCATACGCTGCTCGATTTTACCCAAATCCTGCTGACTCAACTGAAGTTTGAGCTGTGGGTGGTCCTGCCAGCACCACCTGGCTCAATAAAAGTCAATTATTCAACAGACTTTTGTCAACAGAGCTGAGTGGAAAACTGTCAGCCTAAAGGTGCCCATACACTGCTCGATTCTCGTACGAGAATCGGGCGAAATCCCGCGATCATACGAGAATCGAGCAGTGTGAACGAAGACGTGCGACCGTTTCTACTGTGCGGTCGCACGTCTTTTGTCGAACCAACATGCTCGAAAACCCGCCGAGAATCGTACGATTCTCGGCGGGTTTCTAGCCTGCTCGTCCGATAGCTGCGGAACGGGCCTGCACACTGCCCGTTCTGCATTGCGGTCATAGGAAGCCCGCCCCTCAGCGGGGCGGGCTTTCGATGATCGCAAGTACGATCTGCCCGTCCAAGGTGGGCAGATCGTACGAGCTTTCAATAAGCATACGACCATCGCAAGACAAAAGTCTTGCGATGGTCGTAAGGTGTATGGGCACCTTAACAGTGACGGCAGACAATCAGCCACTGTTCAGGTATTCTGACAACTGTGGGCACAGGCTGTCAGAATACGATAGCCTGTTAGGGAAGATCGTCCATTCATGCAGTTTAGCATGGATGGAGGAATTGTTAGTTTCCCATAGGCTGAACAAAAAAAACATCTGTAAGTGTATGACTAGCATTTAAAAAATGTCATCAGTAGTAAATGAGGAGGCGATTCTTTGAAGGGTCAGTTGTGAACTTCTTTACTCAGCAACTGGTTTTGGGGGAAGGTTTATATATCTGTTCTGTATACTGCAGTTGCGTATTCATTTTATTATAGACCTTTCCCTGATTCTTTTAAGAAGGAGGAAATCAGTAGCCTATTGGACTTGTGCATAATATATCATTTACACAGTATTTACTATGATCTGTGACTCTTAAGGTGGCCATACACATAGTAATTAGTGATGTGTGACCGATTTGAGTACAAGCGTTCTCAAACATGCAACTCATCATCGATTAAAATATCAAACAATGCAAACCCAATTCCTCACTTAGTGAACAACTGAAGATATTGCTCTATGTACTGTATATATCTATCTATCTCAGCATTTCTCAACCTCTTTTCAGTCACAGTACCTTTTAAAAGTATGCAAAATCCCTGACTAAAATGTAAAAAAAAACAACATCTGGTCCTTCTAAAATCCATACCAGACCCTTATCCCAGATTGAGGTCTGCTACAGAAGTTATTTGGGGGCCCTATTCAAAAACACAATAAAAAATGGGATTTTCCTTCACATCAGAGTCGCCCCCTTTAAATCAACTTTCAAATCAGGAACACCCCTTCACATCAGAGCTCCCCCTTTACACTAGGGCACCCCCTTTACATTAGGAGCCCCTTTCACATCAGATTACCCCTCTCTCATATTGGAAGCCCTTTTCACATCAGTGCCCTCTCCTTTCACATCAGAGCCTCTCCCTTCAAATCAGGAGCCACCTTCACATCAGAGTCCCCCTTTACATTAGGAGTCCTCTTCACATCAAGAGCCCCCTTCCCTTCAGACGCCCCCCTTTCATATCAGAGTTCCCCCTTCACATCAGAAGCCTGCCTGCACCATTGAAAGGCATGATGCTGAGGCACCACTGAGGAGGACAGTGGGCACCCCATGGTGCCATGGAACCCTGGTTGAGAAAGGCTGACCTATCTATCTATCTATCTATCTATCTATCTATCTATCTATCTATCTATCAACAAAATTCCACCACAGCCAATCAACTTTGCAGAGTCTACATTTATCAAAAGCTCACTAAATGAATTGACTAAGGGTCTTTTGTGATTTGGAGTTCTTTCATTAAAGTGACGCAAATAAAAGAACGAGTGGTATTTTGTGAAGAGTAATATCTCAGCATGTAGTTCTTGGACACTTTAAATATTTATATATATATATTTATTTGAATGTGTTATCTTGCTGTTTATGCTTGTAGAGCAAATCTGAAATCATATCTAAATTATATACTGACATTTTTGCTATTGTAAACATGAAACAACTATTATTATTGACCTATAAATTATCAGTATTACTTTGATAGCACAAATATAGTATTAAAGGAGATAACATTTCCCATCACCTGATTTTTATTGTACAGGAAAACAGTATTCTATTTGTTTATCAGTAAAAATGTATTTTGTAGGTATTGTAGCTACCAGTGCAGTGACTTAATGTCATGAAAAGTACATATTGTACAGAACAGCAGAACATTCTATGCAGTACAGCAGAATCTTCTGTGCTGAACAGGAGAACCTTCTGTGCCATAAAGCAGAGCCTTTTGTGCAGAATAGGAGAACCTTCTGTGCAGTACAGCAGAACCTTCTGTGTAGAGCAAGAGAACCTTCTGTGCGGAACAGGAGAACCTTCTGTGCAGTAAAGTATAACAGTCTATGCAGTACAGCAGAGCCTTCTGTGTAGAATAGGGGAACCTTCTGTGCAGTACAGCAGAACCTTCTCTTGTACTGTAAAAAAGGTTCAGCTGTACTGCACAGATAGTTCTGCCACACTACATTGAAGGTCTTGCTGTACTGCAGCATGGATAGAAGGGACACCCTTCTATCCATCTCAAGCCCCTTAGCAGCCATGCCACTTACATGTGAATGTATATTATCAGCTTAGTAGTTGAAAAATATCATGTTGATCATATACTGCTGAATCAATGAAATTTGAGTCGAGGTGGCCCTGTTGGCTGAACAGTGACTACAACTAGTCGGATGCAGTCAATGTTCAGGTATTCAGACAGCTCTGGGTACCGGCTGTCTCAATACTATAGCCGACCAAGGAGAGTCCTCTATCCTTGCTACAGTATTTGTTCAGACACACACAAAAATCTAGGCGTGTATAGCCAGCTTTATTTCTATGCAAACAAAATAATCCACACTCCTACTTTCCACCTATAGCACCCCCAAAATGTTATATCACGAAGTGTACTTCGTGCACACAAAAAAACAACTAAATAACACATAAACAACTGAATGAGTAAATAATTAAAACAGTAGATGAATAAACACCTGTCCATTAAAATTGAGGTAACAGTCTAGTTTTTCACCTAAGATTCATACAACTTTCATCCACTTGGGTGAAAAAATTCAGAAACAGACCCCTAAGCAGGAAGAACAGCCTGCACATGTATTGAGCAAATATGGCTGCTCCCACGTGCATTTACAAGCTAAACATAGAAATAAGACTTTTAAACCATGTAGATGATAATATACGTTCACATGTAAGTATTAAAAAGAAAGTGGGGGGTTTCTTTCCCAATGATCCAACAGTGCTATAGATAAAACTGTAACATGAACTCATTTTACTTACCAGGAGTATAAGAAGTACAGGAAAAATGGTAGAGAAACAGAAAGCTGCAACCATCGCCAGTCTCTAATGCCATATGCTAAACCTGCAAGAAGGAGTTGTCCAACAGTATAGGAATATCCCGCCAGAGTGCCTGTTATTGTGCGAACGTTGGTTGGAACCCATTCCACAACTGCAATGATAAAGCAGCATGCATACAATACCCATCACTGGAAAATCATTGCTTGCTCATATTGATATGCACACATTATAAAGTCACCATACCTTATTTTTCACAGAAAATATAGTTTTATTGCTTTGGATTATTTAACGTATATCTAAACCCATAAACAAAATAGTAATACAGAATATTGCATATTATTATTGTTATTATATAATATTGTATTGTTAGTAACACACTTCCTGTTCTAAAGTGACAACATCAATTTACTACACAGGACCTATGTAAGAGCAACTTTGTCACCCTAGGCTGCTCTCCTGATTTGCAAAAACGTACCCGTTCTTCTCATCCCCATTAAAAGAGAAGCAAAGCTAAAACTTTTTGGGGGCTATAGTCCTCTTTTGGGTCAAAGGAATACATTTACTAATATACTTCTGTGGCTCAAAGTCAGCAGCTAGTGGGCTACCACCAGTTATTTGCTGACAGAGCAGAGTTGCACTGCAGCCAGGAAAGATCCACCCCCCTGCTTGACTGACAGCTGGCTCTGCTTCTCTAGAGACATAGCCAGCTATACACACCTCTCCCCTGGCTGTCCCTCCAATGAGCGCTAAAGGAACAGAGAGGGAAGGGGGGAATCCTTGCGAGGAGCTGTGATTGGCAGTCACCACTTTCTACAGGCTTGCATGCAGCAAGTTTTGTTTTTTTTAAGAACGGACTGCAGGTCCGTTGGGGGTGCAGGGGGTGCGCCCCGCACCGGGTGACACCATCGGAACCGGTGACACCAAAATCACTGACAGTGATTTTGGTGTCAGTATCTTTGAAAAGTTGGGGATTCAGACATGGACTGGGAGCCGGACAGTTTCACAAGGGAGGAGGGGCCGACGGCATACCTTAGCCCGCTTGGTGAACATCCCCCCTCTTTTTGACGGCGTCCATCACCAACATGAGTGCACACAAAGTCACTACGCACATGCGTGATGTCACACGCATGCGCTCCGGGTGACATAACACCTGGAGACACCCCTGCCTAGAGGTTTATGCTCCCAGTTGTGAATTCAGCTGTACAGAGCATGCTCCACCTCAGAACAGAATGTGTTTACTCTTCAATATTTACACCACCTCCAAAGAAACTCTAAAGCTCATATCCCCAGCTTTGTCCATGTCCTCCCCACAGATAATGCACACTAACCAGTGATCACACCCACCACTATGCCCATGTCCTCTCAATAGGTGCTGCTCACTAAGCAATATCCACAAACCCTAGCTGTGCCCATGTTCTATCCCTACTCTTACTATAGCTTCATACTTTGTGTCCCCACTGGGGAAATTTTCCCTGTCTTCCTGTCCTCTTGACACCTGTACAAGAAAATGTGGCTGTGGTTGCCTTCTGAACAGGAAAGCAAAAAGAGCTAAAACATAATTGTCAAAAGTCCTTACCCTTCCTCACTCTATTAAACATGTATATATAAATTTGTCTCTCCATTGGAGAGATTTATCATCACTTGCCCTGACTGAAAGTGGGGGAAATCTCCCCAATAAAGATACAAACAGCAATAAAAAGAAAAACCTGAAAGAAGCTCCAACCCTGTTCTGTTCAAAATAAAATTTAAAAGATTTGGCTGGAGATGTGCTTTAAAATTTCCTAAGCTTAAAAAAAAACATACAAACATAATTACCCAAAACCATTATAGCTTCCTTATACCATATAGCCAATAAGTGTGACTCCAAATTCTTTATGAATGTTAGCTAAGAATATACCGTATATACTCGAGTATAAGCCGAGATTTTCAGCCCATTTTTTTGGGTGAAAAGTGCCCCCCTCGGCTTATACTCGAGTCAGCGCCAGCGCGTCTTCTTACTTACCTCGCCGAGCGTCGCGTCACTGCTGCTCGGTGTGCGGCGCTCACCCCCTTTTCCACTTACAGAGCTAGGTTATTTTTCTTTTAAATAAATATTAATGTATTTTAATGGTATCTATCTACCAGTAGCTGCCTCATTTCCCACCCTCGGCTTATATTCGGGTCAATACTTTTTCCCAGTTTTTTTGGCTAAAATTAGGTACCTCGGCTTATATTCGGGACGGCTTATACTCGAGTATATACGGTATTCTCTTTCTCTCTCTATCTATATCTATATATCATAAAGTTAGTTTGTACAAAGGTGAGACACTTTGGGCTTGAAATCCTATAAAAAAGTAAAATAAATAAATAGCTGATTTAAGATATGAATATGTTTTTCAGAGGAATTATATAAGAAGTGCTTTTAAGTATGTAATAAAGTGTCTAGTAGTCAAAGAATAACTAGGCCTACCACATGCAATGCAACAAGAAACTTGTACAACCTTTCATGTCTGTCTATTGACTTCATGTTTACAACCTTTGTACGTGTTGCTTGTTAGGAGATTCATTCAAATCTCAAGTGTCAAGATTTTATGCATGGTTGACATTAAAGTAGAATAATATAACACATTATAGCTAAACTCCAGTCATAAAAAAAACAACTGTCTATCAAAAGGGTCCTCTGCACCTACAGAATCAATGTTACAATCTCACAACTTGAGGGTTGGCAATAAGACCTGTTGGCTTCACAGAGAGCAGTTGCAGCACATTATGGCCACTAGATGGAACCAAGGAGCATAGGAATCTCCTACACTCCTTGACTCCTGCTAGTGGCCATAATGCATTGTGAACCTCGTTTGCATAGGTGTTCACTCTTATAACTCTTCTTCACAAATCTCCAGCTTACTTTTCATTCCACATTTACACATGAATTCCATGCATAGGCTTCCTACATACTTAAGGCAGTAGTGTTCAGCCCAATTCCAGACAGAGCCATCCCACAAAGAAACCGGAATACACAGTAGGAGAGGTAGTTTGGAGAAAAGGTAGTGCAGATCCCACAGACAGCCATTTGTAAGTATGACCAAATTAGCAATGCCCTTCGACCGTACCTAGGAAAAATTGAAACGTGTCATAGTGATTTTCTGGTCATGGCATGCATATAATGACATCTAAGATTATTAGAGTAGGACCGTATTAAAGTGTCACCTACTTGTCTGACAGGCCTCCCAGGATAATGGCTCCCACAAGCACACCTGCCATGTACAAGGACTGAGCCAGCTGTCTTTTGTGTTTGGTGCTGCACACCAAATCCCACTATAAAATAAAATATTGGTAACGTAAATGAAACTCTGAAATGCTTACGGATCTCTTACTTTACCTGACTAAATCATTTACAAATGTGTTTGTTGTCTTAATGCATAGTTCAGATGCAGTGCATGTCTGTAGGGATATCGATGCTAAGCCATGCCAGTCAGGGCCAGCCTTTGGGGAGTGTGAGCTGTGTAGTCGCACATTGTGCCATGGCAACAGGGGCCGGATTCCCCACAAGGCCACTGAGGCCATGGCCTCGGAGCGTCAGGGTGTAGACAGGCGGGAAAGCCTGCAGCTTCTCTTCGAATCCCAGCTGCCCTCCCCTGTATGGGGAGAGGCAATGGGGATCCAAGGGGAAATGGAGTGCTGAAGCTGGCAAGGGGGGCGGAGGAGGGAGCGATGTTATCAGGATGGATGAGCCGGGAGAAGATTGCAGAGCCACCGGCTGTCAAATCTAGGATGGCTGAGCATTTCTTTGCGTGGACGAGTGGCTCCCATCACTTTCAGGATGGCTGAGCGGAGGATTAGTAAGTACATGCAATATTTAATGATCCTCTGTGTGCAGCACAAACACTGGAGTGTAAACATCTGGGGACACATAGTACGATGTGTCCCCAGTTATGAATGAACAGGAAGTGCTTTACATAACTTTCCTGTTCGTTCATGAGTTTCTGAATGGGTAGAAGCAGCTCAGTACAGAGGCTTCTATCCATTCATAACTGGTTGATTGTAAATATTTACTATCTCCAGTTTGTGAATGAATGGGAAGTCTCTGTACTGAGTTGCCGCTACCCATTCCATACCATTCAGTGCTGAGGCTCCAGAAAAAGAGATTGAGGACTCTCTGTCCTCAATTTCTTTTTCTATTTCAAATGTCAAAAGGGAGATGTTTGGGGTCTGATATTTTAACCAAAGCC